GGGCTGGCCCCAGAGACGGTCCCCGGTAGTCGCGTGCAGCTGTTACGGCACCCGTTGGAGAATTGTGTGTCTCTTCTCCTCCCAAGCTGCTTATAATACAGTGATAAAAATGATTATGTACTTTCTTCCACAATCACTTCAGCCCCATATCAAGATTTAACACTCAAATTTTCCTAAAGACTTTCTTGGACATCTTGAGGGGGTGAGGAGAGATGACATCCAAGGTTGAAGCTGCTGAATTCCTGCTCTGAAGCGTAGATTACACGCAGCAGTTCCCCGAGAGGCAGGAGGGATTTGCATTGAGCACTGCCCTGGTGGGATGCAAGTTTTCCAAAGGCAGAACCTACAGAGATAATATTTACCGTTTTTTTCTCTCTTCCTAGAGTGAATTCTTAAACCTCATTCAAAAATTAACCTCTATAAAACATACGGCATCTATAGAGAAATAATATTATAAATGACCATTATATTGTTCACCAAGGTCTTCCTAGCAAATAAATCAATGAAACAAACAGTGGCATATTGTATGGCATGAACAACAGTTGCGAATGGCTTTAACAATTAAAGAAGATAGTACGATTACGCACTAAGTCCTGGAAATAGTATAAGTATGTTGTGTGAATTAGTTATAAAAGGGCTCCTTACTACTATTTTAAGTTTTCATGGGGAAAAATGCATAATTTAATTTAAAAAGTGCTAAGCCTAATATACTATACATGAAACAGTAGCATTTTAAATGACCTTTCTATCTTAAGTTCTTATGCCAGCCCTTTCCAAGATGACTTAGCCTATATTGGAAATAGTATAAGTAAGTTGTGTAAATTAGTTATAAAAGGGCTCCTTACTACTATTTTAAGTTTTCATGGGGAAAAATGCATAATTTAATTTAAAAAGTGCTAAGCCTAATATACTATACATGAAACAGTAGCATTTTAAATGACCTTTCTATCTTAAGTTCTTATGCCAGCCCTTTCCAAGATGACTTAGCCTAATTTATGTTTTTGACACTGCCTGCCAATGAAGTTTTAAATGGTGGCCTTTTTCCCTCCTGATAAATTTTCCTAAAACAAAGGTATTTTCCACAGACTTTAGAGCTTTCCATGCTTTATACTTTCTCAGTGTTTCATGATTTTTCAGCTGACAGCTAGAATTCATAAATTACTTGGCGAAATTCCTTTTTTTCTATTTTTAACCTGTGATCTAACCTGGTTAATTGCCCTGTCTAAAATCTTACAGCAAGTTTTTGGCAGAATCAGGACTAAAACCTTTATCTTCACATTTTCACTTGCTCATGCCTGGCCGGTATGAGGCATGATTGGACGGACGGCCTGCATCAGACTGTTTTATTTATTATTGGGAAGGTATAAAAGCTTTCAATTATTAGGCGATTGGTTCAAGGATGTATTTCTAAATCATCAACTAGAATTGCTAGCATTTTATGCTTACTGAATATTTTTACCACATACAAAAGCTATGTATTTAGATATTTCAGGATAGTACCAGATACACTAAGGAAAATGGATTGAAATATGAGTATTAGGTCATCTTGAAGATTAGATCTGGAAAATTAGAGAAGAGAGGAAAAGTATAAAGTGTCGTTATTCTGATAACCTTTATTCCATTTAGAAGTCATTACATGAATGTAATGGGAGATAAAATAGATTTTATTTAATATACCATTCTATGAAAAACTATTATGAACTGAATTCTAGTGATTAGATACTGGTTTATATTTTGAGTTTAAATCATTCAGAGAGTGATGCTAACACAAAGTGAGTATAAATGAGCTACTGTTGTGGGCTTGATCCCTGGTCAGGGCACATATAAGAATCAGCTAATGAATGCATACATAATCGATGTTTCTTTCTTTTTCTCTTTCGCTCCCTTCCTCTCTCTCTAAAATCAGTCAATAAATGAAATAAATAAAAGAAATATGGCTGAAAGCAAAATAGTCTACAACCCAGCGATCCTGCTCCTGAATGAGAATGCTAGAGTTCCCGCCCTTGTGCACAGAGAGGCACTTAATGAGACTTTTCAATGAATTATCAATAGTAACAATAAAAACTTGGAAACTCTCTAAATGGCAGTCAGCAGGAGAATGGCAATATAAGTTGTAGTATATCTTCTATATATATGAGAGCCAAGTGACTGGGACACCAGAATGACCAGTTGCTTTGATGTGCACTGTGGCCATGATCAGTCCCCCTACCCCAATTGGGGGGAGGGGGCAGCTGGCCAACTGCCTGCGGCCCCTCTCCTTGGCTGGCCCACCCCAATCGGCCCCAATTGGGGCGGGCCAGCTGGACCTCACCCGTGCATGAATTCGTGCACCGGGCCTCTAGTATACCTATAAAGGAATGGCTGTGTTTAGGTCACCTGGGTCTCGGGGTGCCACCACTGTGATGGGGGGGTGTGTGTGGCAGTTGAGAGGGGAGCCCAGTTTGCAAGGTGCAGCCCCCACACCTGCTGCCACCTATTTCCTGTGGCTGCTGAAACTGCAGCGATGTGGCCGGGAGGCTGGAGATACATCTTCACTGCTGCTCCCAGGGCTCCCCTGGTCTGAGCACTCCCGTAATTGGGGAGAGAGCCAGGTATGGGTGCTGCCTGCGGCTGCTTCTGCCTCTTACCCTCTGCTGGGCTGTGTGGTAAGGGCTGTACCCTGACTCCACTGACTGCTGCCATGTTGGTTGGGGCTGTGGGTTCAGCTGAGGTGTCTGGGAAATAAGGGTTGTGGGTTCTGTTCTGTCTGTACCATTCTGCCTTCCCTTCACGTGCCAACACATTCACCTTCAGATGTACGGCTGTGGGCGTCTTTCAGGAAATCTCACTGAGCAGAGGAACCTGGGTTGTGGGATAAAGGTCCTCCTAGTTGTCGATAGATGGAAGGGGAGATGGGTACAGTGGGGTACGCTGGCTCTGCCATGATGCTCACAGTATTTGAAAGTATACAATAGGGACTTAGAATCTGGGAGGATAAGAAACTCTTAAATATCAGTTGCCTGTGCTTCTGTCCCCCTCTGTTAACTTTCTTCCAAATGGTCATTTAATCTGTGTTTGAAAACTTTGAGCAAAGAAGGATTTGTGTACAATTGTGAAATCCATTTGACATGCTACACATTATACTCATATTTGATTGTTACCTGGGTTTGATGAGGACAACCTCTGCAGGTATTACGCATCCCACCCCTACCAGCTCATTCTGTCAGCTTGACTCTGAATTTGCTACAGATCTTAGAATGGGATGCATGTAATGAAATAAGTGTAATGCTGAGGCCATTAACGGGCACCAATTAGCTTTCTTTAATGTCCTGAGAAATTAATTCAAAACAGTCTAGGAGGTTTCTCAGACTGGATTTAGAGAACTCTAGATTAGGTGAAGTATTAGGAAAAAGAAAAAATTCTTTGGCTTTGCTAGAAAAATGTTTTACTTGGGTAATTTAAGACACCCAGTGCCCCATTTCTTCTCCATGTCAAAGTTCACTGGGCTCACTGAGCTGCCGTGAGGGTAGCTCTGTAAACTGGATATTGGTGTCATAAAGATTTGTGTTGGAGATACTGTGTGTCATACTGTTAAAGCTTTTAACTACTGGAAAGACTGGTTCAGTTGGGTTCCTCTCAGGTTTGAAGAGAGATTTCGGATGTAAAATCTGTCATATCTAATATGGAAGCAGTTACATTGGGGCACATTTTAACTCTAGTACAGGAAAATTGAATATAAGTCAGAGTGATTGGCTTTTGTCTAAGTATTGTTTGTGTTTTATTGTTGAGGTACTTTTTCTGTGGAAGTGGCGTTATCATTTTCATGTCCCTAATCCAGCATATTTGGTAGACTTTGACCTTAAGACCCGTAGCTGCATTGCAGTCTCCTCTGTTGAAATGTTTTATAAGCCCTTGACTGTCTAAAACCAAACTCCCACTCTGCCTCCTTCAGTGGAAGTCTCATGAGATTGTTGACGGCATTCCAGACTTCTGTTCCTCAAACCATGATTTTACTAACTAGTTTTCTCGTTTGCTATAAAATTTTATTTTGTTTTTTTACTTTTTAAACTCCTGTGAAAACGAAGACCAACACACACACACATTAGCCTAGGTTTTCACAGGGTTGGGATCATCAGTATCGCTGACTTCCACTTTCATGTCCATGTCCCACAGGCAGGTCTTCAGGGGCAACACAGCCTTCTGTCCAGCACTCTGAGCTTATACTTGTATGTGGAATTTTAGAGTAATTTACCCTGTAAGCTGTGCTTAGAGCTTTGTTTGCATTCAATTCTTTCACTGTTGTCTTTCTCATGTATCAATCAGTGGAAATATTTTTTACTTATCTCTTGCCTTGATCTACAGAGGACTTAAGGTTATATTTAGTGTAGCCTAGATGAATGTTAATAGGAGGTCTAATGTTTTTTTAGGGGTGTGTGTTTTGTGTTTATGTAGCAGTTAGTTTGACAAGTGTGTTCTGTATCCTGATGGGATTGTCCTCTTCATAAAATGAAAAAGAGGGAGTTGTTTTTGTGTTTGTTTGTTTTACTTTCCAGATTATAAATGCCATGACAATTTCTAACCACCAAGTAAAATATTTTAGAAGTTAACTAGAAAGTAAAACCACATTCACAACATTTCCAGGCTCAGTTATTATGAAGGTCTCCAAAGTGACATATTAGAGTAAAGCTCAGATGCCAGTCATAATCCTGGGGCATCCGTAGGTATGCATTGGGGAAATAGCTGGTTTACCATTTGATTTAGAAGTCACGGATTACAAGACTTACAGTTGCTCACAGTCCCATCAAGTAAAATCACAGACTGGTGAGAAGACAGTGCAAAATTGTGATTTTATAAATAACTGTTTCCTAAACTTCTGCTGAAAATTTCCATAGAATATAAAGTGTACTTTTAATACATGATTTTGCAGTCAACCTGTTAAGACCTCCATTTCTTTTCATAAAAAGTAAAAATGTAACCTCTTGCCACAACTAAGATGTTTTTCCCTTATCCCTGTTTTTTAGTGTCTAAGAAGCACGGCAAGCTCATCACTTTCTTACGCACATTCATGAAGTCTCGACCAACAAAACAGAAGCTGAAGCAGCGAGGGATCTTGAAAGAGAGGGTGTTTGGTTGTGACCTGGGGGAGCACCTTCTCAATTCTGGTTTTGAAGGTAAACATACATTCTCTACTCTTATAATTCTAGTTTCTAACCTCTGCATATTGATTTTCTAGAACCAATTGTGCAATAGATTAGGCAAGTAATTTCTGTTCCATTTAAGTTCGGCAGCAGGTATTGAACATTCTTGGGTCCTTATCTTAGTTCTGGGGGAGCTGAGAATAAAGACGGGTCTAAGAATGTACTTTGAATCAGATACTTCTGATCTGTTTAGGAAGAGCAAGACATTCGCATAAAGCACGGTCAGTTGGCATTATTTTTATATCTGTCCCGTTAGCTTTCTCAGCCAGCTTTCCCCTCCCACATTTTATTCTAAAATATTTACTTAATTTCTTGTTTGAAAAATATAGCCATAGTTTTGAGGCTATAAAATACCAAGCCCAGTCTTCCAACTTTTATAGCTAAAATTTTTAATTTCGTTCCCTGTAAATCAAGTTCTGACTCAAGATTTCAGTGGGTGGTGAATGGATAGAGGGGAATGAATAGATAAGAAGAAAGAAAAATGGGGTTTTCTTTTGATTTAAAAAAAAATGCACTTCCCTCTACCAGTTCTTGTAGAGATGCTAGAGCAGTGGTTCTCAACCTTCTGGCCCTTTTAATACAGTTCCTCATGTTGTGACCCAACCATAAAATTATTTTCGTTGCTACTTCATAACTGTAATGTTACTACTGTTATGAATCGTAATGTAAATCTCTGATATGCAGGATGGTCTTAGGCGACCCCTGTGAAAGGGTCGTTCGACCACCAAAGGGGTCTCGACCCACAGGTTGAGAACTGCTGTGCTAGAGTATTAAAGTAGTATCCAAAGTACCTATAATGTTGATAAGTACCAGAAATAGATGATTTGTAAAATTCTAAATCCTGATGGAAAATACCCATTGTACTTTTTAAGACCACTGATGAAAAGTAGGGTAAATATCAATACAGTAAACAAAATACAGAAAAGTGTTTATGCTCATCTGTAGTCATGAAAATGTATTTTCAAGCCATTTTGAGATATTTTATATTGACAAACATTATTAATGTAATAAAGCTGCTTTTCTAAATTATGATCATATTAACTGTAATCAAGTGGACAGCTATATATTTCTCCAGCAAAATGTGTTTATTCAGGAACAACAAAGAATTGCAATTTAGGACATGTAGTCTAACCAAAAACCATGCCCAAGTCTAGGGAAACAAAGGGGAGAATGCCTTTTTAATGGATTGGGGGCGGGGCTATTGTAAACCTAGTGCCCATTGGAGGATACTGAAAGTACGAAGTATAGTGACTTTCCATTGGCTGAGTTTTGGCAATCTCCCATTGGCTGAGCTGTTCCTGGGAAAGGAGGAGTCTTCTTCCTCCTGCTGAGGTGGTCAAGTATCACTTCCTGTGACAAAAAATCACTTTCTGTTGGAGGTGAAAGGTATGTTTCTTGTTGGGGTCAGGAGTGTGTGTTAAGTGACAGGTGCATAAAAGTTCTCTCTTATAGCCTCCTGACTGCCTTTTAAATAATATTTCTGTGTATTAATTTTCACAAATCCAGTACCAGTAAGGCAGCAGCAATTTTATCAATAGACAAACGCTGTTGGTTTTGGGTAGCTTGGTGTATTATTAATTTTTTGAAAAACATTTTGGTACTTCACAGCAAGAAACTTTTTTTTTATAGTGTTCTTTTCATGTAGCAGTTCCCCTTAGGGATTTATCCTAAGGTTATATTTCAGTATAAACAAAAATGTTCATTATAGCAGTAAGTATGAGAGCAAAAATCTTGAGTACTCACTTTTGAACCATAAATTTAAGGTGTTAAAATTGTAAATTTGAGTACAGTGTGGAAATTTGAAGGAAAATATATATATATATATGCATGCCTGTCTGACCGTCTGACCAGTAGCTGTGATGCGCAATGAACACCAGGAGGCAGATGCTCAGTGCAGGAGCTACTGAGCTGCGGTGACTTGGCAGCTGCGGTTCTCAGGTAATGCACCCGGAACCAGAGAAGAGGGAGCCCAGTTCCAGGGTGCATCACCCGAGAACTGCTCTCTTGCAATCCAGAACCCCTCAGGGGATGTCGGAGAGCCGGTTTTGGCCCAATCCCCGCAGGTCAGGCCAAGGGACCCCACCAGTATTCATGCACCGGGCCTCTAGTGTTATATATAAACAGTAAGTTTATCTTTGTTTTAAAAAAATTTATTTTATTGATTTTTTACAGAGAGAAAGGGAGAGGGATAGAGAGTTAGAAACATCGATGAGACAGAAACATCGATCAGCTGCCTCCTGCACACTCCCTACTGGGTATGTGCCCGCAACCAAGGTACATGCCCTTGACCGGAATCGAACCTGGGGCCCTTGAGTCTGCAGGCCGATGCTCTATCCACTGAGCCAAAAGTGCATGAAATTCTTTACCTTTTTAAATGTATAGATACTTAGAAGATATATAAAATGAATATAATTGTGGTGGCATATTACATGTGGAAACTTTGTAATTTTTTTTCTTAGTTTTCCTGCCTTTTTAATTAAAAAGAAGAAAAAATACTAGTAGAATGTTAGAAATTAATTTAATAGTCATGGAAGAGAACTCTGCTATAGGCTGATCCAGAGGAGAAAGTCTGTTCAAGTGATTAGAAAAACAAACAAACAAAGAAGTTAATTTGTGACATTAGAGTGTAATAGTAATTTAATAAACCTTGAAGACTGAGGTCACATACATTCTAGCTCAGTGGTCCGCAGACTGCGGCCCCTTGAGTGTGGCTCTTCCACAAAATATCATGTGCAGGCACGCATGTACAGTGTGATTGAAACTTCGTGGCCACACTCAAGGGGCCAAAGAGCCACATGTGGCTCACGAGCCGCAGTTTGCCGACCACTGTTCTAGCTGGTATTTTAGAATAATTTCCTCTTTATTGGGGATGATGACAATGATGAATAAATATTCATATGACAGAAATAATTTGAATATTTAATAAAGACTAAATTAACACAGAGAGAAACCTTTGAAGTTTATCAACTAAAATTTTAATTAGGAAAGAAAATGGTTTTTAATATTAAATTGATTTATTAATTTGTCTTTGATTTAATAAATGTGTGAGGAATTAAAGTTTTTTAAGATTTTGAGACTTTATATGTACTGTATATAGTCTATAACTAGTCTTAACATAAGTGCATAGATAGATAGATAGAGAGAGAGACTATTTCAAAGCTTAAATTAAAACAAGGAGAATTGAATATATATCATATGTAACTAGAGGCCCAGTGCATGAAATTCATGCACTGGGCGGCGGGGGGGGGGGGGCCCTCAGCCCGGCCTGCGCCCTCTTTCAGTCCAGGAGCCCTTGGGGGATGTCCAACTGACGGCTTAAGCCCATTCCCTGCTGGCAGTCAGATATCCTTAGCGCTGCTTCGGAAGCAGGAGAGGCTCCCCCCACCGCTGCTCCACTCACTAGCCATGAGCCCGGCTTCTGGCTGAGCAGTGCTCCCTCTGTGGTAGTGTACTGACCACCAGGGGGCAGCTCCTACATTGAGCGTCTACCCGCTGGTGGTCAGTGCACATCATAGTGACCAGTCTTTCTGCTGTTCGGTCAATTTGCATATTAGCCTTTTATTAAATAGGATATTTAAAGTCTAAGTGAAAACAGAATAACCCTGAGGAGGAAGAATGATATGTTGATATTTTATATATGTAATTGTGAGGAGAGAGGAGATACAAATAAGGATAGATATATAATATGTATGATCATTCTTCCTCATGATTACCCTATTAGTTGGGACTTTAAAATATATAAAATATAAAACATAAATATATAAAATAGATTATGCACCAGATTTTTCTAAGAAGGAAGCCCCATATCAGTAGAATGTTTTGCTATGTGACTCATTCTCTGGATTGTATTCCTAGTGAATAATCGACTTTATGGAGAGCTTATCCTGTTAACACTTTCTGAACTTGTGAGCACCTCCCTGTGGGATCAAGAGAAAAGCCTGACCTGTTTCTCCTGTAGCAGGGTGTTGTAAGAATTCGCGTAGGAGCCTGACAAGGCCTTTCAAAAATTCTTTTATTTGTGATCCCTGGTGTCAGAATTCACTCAGGATGATCTTACAGTTTCAGCTCCCACAAACCACAATACTTATAATTGAGTTAATTAAAGGTTATAGCACAGTTACTCACAGAACCGGTTTTTTTAAAGAAACCTCCCCACATGGTACTTTTTTTGGATAGATCAAACTAATTTGTCATTTACTGTTGCACCCTGAGTGAAGGAGTCAGATGTTTTTTTGTTTCTTTTTCTTTTTGTATTTTTTTGTTGTTGTTGTTCAAGGTTGCTTGAATGTGATCATTAATATGAGGGAGTGTTTTCCAGTTTGTTTGCCATGCTCATTAGCTTTCACACATCGATTCAGCACGTTTTAGTTGTACTTAGGAGTTTCTGGTGTGTTTTCATTCTTAATAAGTGCGATAGGAGAGGATGGTTGCCAACATTTAAGAAGGCAGCAAACAGGTTTAATAACTATAGTGTTCATTCATTCCGTAACTATGATAAAATCTATTCTAGTGGAACAGTTTTCAAACGTCATCAGTTTCGTATAGGACTTGTTTTATTTGTTGCACATATCTGAAACTGAATTTCCTTACAATGAAATTTCAAATGAGATTTCTTTAAACAAAAAAGCAAGAACTTGGTAGGACACTCGGTAAAATGATATTTGGCACAAAATATAAAATCTATTTTAAAACTCAAGGTGAGGAAACTATAGTCTGAACTTACTTCTGTGTTTGAGGTTTTTTCCAACTATTTTTTACAATAGTTAGAAAAAACAAACAGGAATTTTATAATCAGAGCACACTTGGGGGGGAAAAACAAACAAACAAGGTCCAAATAACCTCTGAAATTAATTCCTTAATCATATTTTCCCAACAAAAAGTCACGATGCATTTTCTAATAACGCCACACAGATGCTGCTGGGAGCCACCACCACAAGATGGAACAACTTTTTCATAGGATTTCCATGTGATTTAAGTGAGGGTGTCCATTATAAAGCATGTAGCCTGGCACATATTACATATTCAGTAATATAGCTGCTTAAAAAACTCATTTAAAGCTAAGGAGCTTGTTTTAAATGTAAGTTATAGGATCTGACAGTTTAAAAGGTAGAATGCAGGAAGGACAACAAAAGGCAGGAAAACCAAGGAAAAGTCTGCAGGTATAATCATGATGTACAGCAAGTCCTGGAATAACATCATTTCTTTCAGCATCATTTTGTTATAATGTGGGTGAGATGCCGGTATAGGAACTCTTGTTTGGATCAATCAGCCTATGGTAAAACTGATTCCATTATATGTCATTTCACTTACAGTTTCAGAATCCTTAACAATGTTAAGTGAGGACTTACTGTGTACTATACGTGCAATACATTACCTAAAAGTATCTTCTTAAATATCATTTCATTCACCACTCCTGTGTGTTTCATCCCTAGTATAGTCGTTCATTGCAACCAAATAGTGTTCGTCCAAGCACTGCTTTTTGGGGATTTGAACTAAAACTATCAAACGAAAGTTACTAAAAGTTTACCAGTCTGTATTGCAAAACAAAGTTCAATTTCAGCTGCTGTACATTTTTGAATGGTTATAAAAAGAGCTTTATCATATAGTTTGAACGTCCTTTTTTACAGTGTAGGCCCCAAATGGTTGGCCATTTGTGTCAGATATTCAGTGAAGTAACCAGACAGACCCCATCTCCCCATCTTTCAACTTGTTGGGGTGCCCTTTAAAAGGAGCTGATAATATTAAGTCAAAAGGTCAGTACTTATAATGTAAAGATAGGCAGGAAATTAAGGTCTTATCTACTTGAAATTGCCTTGACCTTTGCATTATGTTGGTGTTTTGTTTATTAGATAAAATTAGAATTAGCGTTAACTATGAAAAGATAAAAGAAACTCTTTTAAAAGTGAAAAATTGCAGTTATCTGTTGAGACGTGAAATTAAGTAAACGTGCCCTCTTCATTTTTTGTAGTAGATTAAGATTCCACCCCTATAACTTGAACTTGCAAATTTTATTTTGCTGATGAGAACTAAGGTACTCTCATTTTCTGCGGAGTCCTCCCAATCTAATCCACGTCTTTAACATGATTCTTCAGTCCCCCAGGTTCTTCAGAGCTGTACGGCATTCATCGAGAGATATGGCATTGTGGACGGAATATATCGCCTCTCTGGCGTTGCCTCCAATATCCAGAGGCTACGGTAAAACCTGCTATGGCATTTCCTTTTTCGTTCCTATTGTAATTCATTCAGATGAATTTATTTCAGAATTAAGTCTCTTACATTGATGACCATAATTCAGTAAGATAGTTGAGGAAAAATAGGCAACACTAAACATACTGTTCTCTGTGTATTTTCCTAAGTGCCATTTACAGTATCAGAGCACCATGCCCCCTTCACCTTGTCAGTCCTTGTGTTTTCCCTTCATAATAGTTAATGATTTTAGCTATTGAACTTGAACCCATGACAACCATGACAGATGAAGTTTACATTATCTGAATAGAATTAATAGAATTAGTCTTTCATTCCTAATTAAAATTGACAAGGGAAACTTTCTAATCTCCTTGGATACCTGTTCTGTATTCTATGCTCAGGTATGCACGTGTTACGTATTTCACATCCGCTCTCATCATCTTCCCCAAAATCACGGTGTCCTTTACACCAGCAATAGAGATTTTATTTTTTGCTCAATCTCTTAGCTTCTGGTCTATTCTTAATGTGTTCTTTTTCTTTCATTTTCACTGTGGTGCATGGAAATTGCCATTTACTCTACGGGGGTTTTAATATCCTAATTGACCGCAGAGCTCACCTCTGTTTTCAGGAATACATATTGGAAAGTACTTCACCTGATTCTGGTACTAAGGACAGTTTCAGTCTTTACTTTCACGTGCAGCAAACCTCATATTCACTAATGAACCCACAAACACTAATCCTCTGGGTTGATGAGTGGTCTCGTGCCTGTAGATTAATGTTAATTAACCTGGAGAGTGAGCGTAACCTGCTTTCTGAACACAACCTTTATTCCATTCACTTCAGTGCTACAGATTTTACCGTCTGTTACAATGTGGTGGTGGCTGGGGATTGGTTGATGTTGTCTCTGGCTTTCTTATCCGTCTTTAATAAACCACTCCTGGGCCATACTTCCTGTAGCTGAGGGGTTTCCGGGCACGGTTATTCATGGACCAGCTGCCACTCAGTCCTAGTCTCCAGAATTGCCAAAATCTCACAGATTCAAACCATGAGGAACTGAGTCCTGTTTTTAGATCTGTGTATGAAGAGCTGCTCATTCATAAGCATTTCAGAGATTGTAGTCCATCTTAATATTAAAGCTATGCCCTTAATTTTCACATAGAAAAACACGTATGATCAAACATCCAATTACTGCTGGAAAAAAACATTAATTCACTGAGGTAAAAATATCAATTCACATTTGTCCATACATTTATATTTATTTGTCTATATATTTTATTTGGGTTCGTGCTTTCCCAAATATTCTTGCTTTTCCTTTAATAAAATAATTTTGTCACTCTGCTGTCTTTGTTAGCCATGAATTTGACTCTGAACATGTCCCCGACTTGACAAAAGAACCCTATGTTCAGGACATCCATTCCGTGGGCTCCCTCTGCAAGCTGTATTTCCGAGAGCTCCCAAACCCTCTGCTCACCTACCAGCTGTATGAGAAATTTTCAGTGAGTACCAGTCACTTTTAAATCAAGTCCTCTTTGGAGTTTTGTTCAAAAGGTGTCAGAATTGTTTTGGCCAGGTAAGAAATAGTTCCATGCCTGAAATGACTCCTTTAAAGGAAAAAACAACAACAAAACAGTCATTGTTACTGGTTCCTAGTTTTGGCTGATTTCACATTTTCATTCTTTTAGTTTCTGACTTTGAGCCACTACTCTTATCACACTTAATGTTGGTGACCATAAAGTTTTTTAAAAAATTATCTTTTAATAGATTTCAATGTCCACATAGTGTGGGGGGAGGTTTACTTCCTTGATGCTACATGGTGTTTCCTCATCGCTCAGCGCCAAAGAGTAGATAGAATGATTTACCTGAGAGTGAAAAAAGCTAAGTTATAAGTGGAGAACTTTGATTTTTACCAACAAAGTCCACTGGTTGATGTCGCATTACGATGGTTGCAGGATGCTGTCTCAGCAGCGACAGATGAAGAAAGGCTGATCAAGATTCATGACGTCATCCAGCAGCTGCCCCCGCCACACTACAGGTAAACCCCGTGCAGAATTCCAGCCACGTGTTTTCATCCTATGGGCTGCTGACTGGCTAAGTTTTCTTGGAGTTGCAACTATTTATTTATTTTTATATTTTTATTGATTTCAGAGAGGAAGGGAGAGGGGGAAAGAGAAACATGAATGATGAGAGTAAATCATTGATTGCCTGCTCTTGCACATCCCACTGGGGATTGAGCCTGCAACCCAGGCATGTGCCCTGACTATGGCCTCCTGGTTCACAAATCAAAGTTCAACCACTGAGCCACGCCATTTGTCTATACATTTATATTTATTTGTCTGTGTATCCCCAGGGCCTGGCACAGTACTTGGCATGCAATCGGCTTTAATAAATGTTGAATGAACGAATACATGAATGAGCAAATGGATGGTTGACTAAACCTGTCTCTTTGTGTGTTTGTTTGTTTTGCGATACTGAGAAATATTGCTGAAGGTACTGGGATGTCTGACCACAAGTGTGCAGACTTGTGAATTGCTTGAATCCAAAATATGGACTCACTGCTGGGTGCCTGTTTGCTGGTTTCCTTTTTTGCAACCCTCCTTTTTTTAAAAAAAAATTACATTAAAAAAAAGCTTTTAGAGAGGAAGGGAGAGGGAGAGAGAGATAGAAACATCAATGATGAAAGGGAATCATTGATCAGCTGCCTCCTGCCAGCCCCACCCTGGGGTTTGAGCCCACAACCTAGGCATGTGCCCTGACCGGGAATCAAACCATGACCTCCTGGTTCATAGGTCAACGCATTCACTAAGCCATGCTGGCTGGGCCCTCCTTTGTTTTTCAAAATGTGTCCAAGCCACACAGAGCATGTCTGCTGCAACTAGAGCAGCATAACTTCACGGAATCGTTTGTCTAGAAGCCGGAGGGGAGGGTTCATGTCCCTGGTGTCTTGAAACCAGGTGTCTGGCAGCAGGAGCAAATACGCTAACGGTTTTTTAAAAACTCAGGCCGTTTTCTCAGAGCCAGTCCTGTCAGAAGCTTGTTTCTCGCCTTAGACGTTTTCCATAGTATCAGTAGATGTGGTTATTACACCTAGGTATAAAAGTCATACTGATCTTCTGACAGTTCTGTGGTAATAATGTTTAAACCTAGTACACAGCACACAATTTGCTGAGGTTTGTGTGGTCCTGTTTCCATTTTGCCATCGAACATTACGAGTTCGTGGAGTTATGCTCTGTACTGCTACATGATGGGTTTTAGAGTTGTTGTTGTTAAAGTGTTGTGTTTCGTTTTCCAGGACACTGGAGTTCCTCATGAGACACTTGTCACTTCTCGCTGACTATTGTTCCATCACAAATATGCATGCAAAAAACCTAGCAATTGTTTGGGCTCCAAACCTGCTCAGGTAAGTTGCATTTGACATTTGACTTTAAGTAGATCCAGTCACCTTGTAAAGTCTAATTCATCAGTGTTCCTTAAGGACACCCTGTTCAAGTAAAACTGATCTGTTGTTTTTATGCGCATCTCCCCAAAACAGGCCAGTGGCACTTAGCTGAGGCCTGTGAAAGTATTTTTCTTACTCTGGTTGGTGTGGGATTTACCAAAGGACTTGTATGCATACATATAAGCATAAGCAATGGACACAGACACCAGGGGGGTGAGGGCATGAGTGTGGGGATGGGGGAGGTAAGGGAGAATAAGGACACATGTAATACCTTAATCAATAAAGAAAAAAAAAAGGATTTACATGTTTTAAAAAATGCCCTTTAAGACTGCTATGCCTGTGACTCTGATGGCGATCTTGTCTGCCCCACAGATCGAAACAGATCGAGTCCGCCTGCTTCAGCGGCACAGCGGCCTTCATGGAAGTGAGGATTCAGTCTGTGGTCGTCGAGTTCATCCTCAACCATGTGGACGTCCTCTTCAGTGGGAAAATCAGCGAGGTCATTCAGGAGGGGGCAGGTGCGGCTCGGCCAGAGTGCGTTCCTGGCAGGAACGTACACCTACACTTCCAGAGCCATGGAAACTGCATTTCTTCCTTCCTTCCTTCCTTCCTTCCTTCCTTCCTTCCTTCCTTCCTTCCTTCCTTTCTTCCTTTTTTTCTTTCTTTCTTTCTTTTCTTTCTTTCTTTCTCTCTTTCTCTCTTTCTCTTCTCTCTTTCTCTCTTCCTTTCTCTCTTTCCCTCTTTCTTTCTCTCTTTCCCTCTCCCTTCCTCTCTCCCTTCCTCTCTCCCTTCCTTTCCTTCCTTCCTTTTCTTCCTTTCCTTCCTTCCTTTCCTTCTTTCTTTCTTTCCTTTTTTGTAATATATTTTTATTGATTTCAGAGAGGAAGGGAGAGGAAGAGAGAGATAGAAACATCAATGATGAGAGAGAATCATTGATAGATAGGCTGCTTCCTGCATGCCCTCTACTGGGGATCGAGCCTGCAACCCGGGACCCTTCAGTCCGCAGGCCGACCTATCCACTGAGCCAAACCAGCTAGGGTGAAGCCTGCATTTTTTATCTCAGTTTCATGACTCTGTCTTTGGTAGAAAGCAGCTAATTTATGGCCATTTCCCCAAAATGCACAATTTCACAGTTATTTTCTGGGTACTTTGTTAATGCTACATATTAGACCTTTTGTAAGCTACGTTCATGACACATTAAAAAAATATGCCGTGTTACTTATTATTGGTGGATGTAAAGGTGTAAGATGGAGCAGCAGCAGAAAAATTCTTTCCAGAACTAAAAATACTGAGTGATACCAGGCAAGGCCACATTACTTAAGAATTCTAAGTGTGTGTATGTGTGTGTGTGTGTGTGTGTGTGTGTGTGATTGCTAACAACCTGGTATGTGACCTTCTATTCCTCACTATTATTTTTGCCACTTAAAAAATGGAATGAAGAAAATTTGAAACAAGGCAGGTAGGTAGGTAGATGGATAGACAGATAAGCAGGTTGATAGCCACACACTCACACATTTTTCCCTCCATGCAGAAACATTTGACTATCTTTATTGTTTTTCTTTCTTTCCAAAGCTTCTCTATCCAGGCCCAAGTCCCTGCTCATTTCCTCTCCGTCCACCAAGCTGCTGACATTGGAGGAAGCCCAGGCAAGAACCCAAGCTCAGATCAATTCTCCGCTGGTGACTGAAAACAAATACATCGAAGTAGGAGAAGGACCTGCCGCGCTACAGGGGAAGTTTCACACCATCATCGATTTCCCGCTGGAAAGGTAGCGTTCATTAAATCCTCGCCGGTGTGATCTCAAGCTGTGTGTCCTCTTGGTTTTACCTTTGCCTTTGTATTTTTCCTATCATCCTGTTCCTGCAGTGGCTCTGGGCCAGTCCCAGGCAGTCCTGTGCTCTTCTGACGGTGGGTGAGACTTCCTAGGGAATGAGAGACATGTTTCTCGAGAAGCATTGCAACACCACGTCGTTCTAAAAAGAAGAGAGTCCGTTGTACAGGAAAAATGGTTAGGAAAAATGATACAGTTCATTGGCCGGCTTTATAACATGAAGGCAGTTCACTAAACGTCTTAGAGTTGTAACTTGCTTAGCTGTGAAATGAGAATGTAGTACCCTCCTCATATGATTTTATCTCATGTAAGTGCGATATTACATAGAAGGCAGTTAGCACAGTGCCTGGCATCCCATGTATGTCAGTTACTGTTCTTAATCCTTTTCTTCGTGTTTGGCTTCATTCACTTTACTCACACCTAAAATCACTTTCCCTAACTCTAGTTTTGGAGTGTTAATATTTCCTATTCCCAAATATGTCTTACTCTTATTTCCCAGCTTGTGAGGGTAGTTCTCAGTGTGGCAGTCTGTGTGAAAACTACCCTGTGAAACTAATCACTGGTATGGACACCCATACAGTCAGTTTCCACTCCACGCTCAGGTGCACCGCACGGCTGCCCTGAGTCGTGCCGTGTGCTGGTTGGTGTGTGCTCAGCTGTGCTCTCCTGCTCTGGTTCTTCCCATCACTTGCTCATTTTCTCTAAGTAAAGGGAGCCCCTTGGATATCTCAATGCGGAAGTGTTTCTCTCTCACAGGAGGAGGCCTCAGAACAAAATGAAAAAGTCCCCTGTGGGCAGCTGGCGCTCCTTTTTCAACTTGGGGAAATCGTCGTCTGTTTCCAAGCGGAAGCTGCAGCGCAATGAGAGTGAGCCCTCGGAGATGAAGGCCATGGCTCTGAAAGGTCAGCGCCCTTCCCCGCCCCTGTCCCCGTGCTGCGCCGAGGGCAGCTGGCCCGCCGACAGGTCACCTCCTCCTGCTGCCACGGCGTCTCTTTTCTTTCTCTGGACCCACACCCGACACGCTCCAATGGGAGATGCTGTCTACTGGAGGCTAAGGTCTGAGATCACGGTGTCAGCAGGGCCGTGGTTAGGTGTGAACCCTGACCCCTTGGCTTGTGTTGGCGTCGCTCCAGTCTCCGCCTGTCTTCAGAGAGCATTTTCCTCTGTCTCTCTGGGTCTGCTCTTAAAGGGACACCACACCAGTCATTGGGTTTAGGACCTACCCTCAATCCAGTATGGCAGCACACTCCTCTTTAGGAAATATAAAAGGAGATGTTTTTAAATTCATCTCTATTCTCAAGTTCTTAATCCTTTAGAAAAGATTTTTCCTATAGGCAACCACTTGAGAACAACAATACATTATGTAGCATGATGCTAAATTGAGTATGGTTGTCAAAATGTACAACTAATCGCTCTTGGAAGTTTAAGTATGTGTAGAGAAAAACACTGCTCCTTTTCACTGTAATAATGTCTAAAACGTCACACTGTTTGGTTTTGATTCTGTAGGTGGCCGGGCAGAGGGAACCCTCCGATCAGCTAAGAGTGAAGAGTCTCTTACTTCTCTCCATGCAGTCGATGGTAAGAGGAAAAGCACCAGTCGTTTTATTCTATATTTCAGAAAAGAACATAACAAGCAAGTGTATTTTATAAATACATGCTTAGCAAAGAGGCCATAGAGCATCACTTCTTAAGAATACTAGTATCTATTTAGTATTTTCCATTGATGTTTTTATATAGTACCAGTCTCTAATTTCTTCACTTTTGACATAATTGCTATTCAATTTGCATAAGAATGAGCGAATTGGTTTAAGTTAACCATTTCTATTTATTAATGCCCAGTGAAAAATTATATTATTAGTATTTCTTAGATTTCACAGTGAGAGCACAGTGTTACAAAGGGTACAATTAAGCAGTTTTGATATTCAGACTAGAAGACTTTTGTCTTGAAAATGGCTAACTTAATGTTAAATTTCATAGATCAGATCAGTTATGGAGGGTAATCTTATCAGGAGAAGGCAACGTAAAGTGAATCTGCTTAAAATGGGGACCCGAGTTATATGCTAAATCATGCAGAAAGGGTGGATTGTAACTTGAAAAGCAAAACTAAAAGGTTATGAAAATAAGTTTTAGCTTCTGTCTACAGTCGGGTTATAGTTGCCACTAATTTTCAGAATGAACAAAGTACTGCTTCATTGTTGACTTGGAGGGAAATAGAACTCTTTTGACAAAACCACGTAATGGCAAGTAGGACATCCTCGATGTCATCTTTGGCTTCTAATCCTTTAGAAAAGAGTTCGTAAAGAAGGCGGCAGGTTGTAAAGACGGCCCTTTTAAGGAAATAATCAAGAGCCACCCTGATTGCCCAGGGGTTTTCCTTAGTCAGTTGATGCTCAATTCGTGCTCCTTGGAGGTATCCTGGGATGTCCTATCAGCCTTCTCATCTTCCTTTACTAACTGCCCTAACGGCACCTCCTCACCGGCCAGTGACTGTGCTGTGATTCATCAAGTCCTCACATGTCACTGTCGTTGAGTGTCCCACATCTTGTGGGTTGTGCAGGATTTTCCATTTCACTTTGGTTAAGAGAATGCTTCACAGAGCAGTGTAGTGGGCTGGGTAGATGCTAGGATTAAGCAGAAGATAATACTCAAGCAGGGATTCATTTTACACGTGGCCAGAGCATTAGTGAATGTTTTTATTACGACAGTTTCTGCCTCTCGGTGGTACATGTTCACTCCGGCAGCTCTCAGCATCGTAACGAATGCTGAGATAGAGGACTTCTGTCAGGAGGGTGCTTGGCAATGGCATCAAACTGTGTGATCCGCAAAGGCCTCCACCACTTTCGAGGACTGACTGCCTGAGAGACTTAGAGCCCGCTCTTAAGGAGTGGAAAAAGGAAATTATTTTTGTTTAAGTATCTGAAAGGAACCCCTTACTAAATAGATGTTAATACTTTATATGATTGTAGGGATTTTTTTAAACTGAGAAGTTAATTTTTAGAAATTTGGGAGTTATGAGAATTTTTCTCTCTAAACAAAAACCTCTTTTGCTGCTGTGTATCCAAAGTACTATTTAAAGTGAATGATTCCACCTGGCCGGGGTGGCTCAGTGGTTGAACATTGACCTAGGAACCAGGAGGGCACGGTTCGATTCCCTGTCAGGGCCACGTGCCCGGGTTTCAGGCTTGATCCCCAGTAGGGGGCGTGCAAGAGGCAGCCCATCAACTCATCATTAATGTTTCTATCTCTCTCTCCCTCTCCCTTCCTCTTTGAAATCCATAAAATGTATTTTAAAAATAAATAATAAAAATAAAGTGATTGATTTTGCCTCACAAGTCATGTGTGAGGTCAGTGATAAAATAAGACAAAAAAGAAATAAAAAACTCGCCTAAAGTCATAACAGAAGTCAGTGTTGGACTAGTGGTAGAACCTGGCAGCTCTGAGCCCTTTTCCGATGGAAATCGACAGCCGCTGCCTTCTCCCTCCCATCATGTCAGAGGTGCGTGTCCTTGAGCATTTGGCTTGGGGGCCCCATCTGTGAGCCCCAAGGGACAGTTACCCGTAAGAAAAGGAGACGTGCCCTTTCCTTTCCCCGTGTGTCCTCGGTAGGTGAGCAGCGGGGGTGCCCCTGTGACGTTCACACTGAGAGACTGTTTGTTGTCCGTTCCCCAGGTGACTCCAAGCTGTTCCGGCCCAGGAGACCACGATCCAGCAGCGACGCCCTGAGCGCCTCTTTCAACGGAGAAATGCTGGGGAACCGCTGCAATTCCTACGACAACCTGCCCCACGACAACGAGAGCGAGGAGGACATGGGGCTGCTCCACATCCCAGCCCTGGTGTCCCCCCCTTCGGCCGAGGATGTGGACCTGAGCCCGCCGGACATGGGCGTGGCCGGCCTGGATTTCGACCCCATGTCGTTTCAGTGCAGCCCCCCGAAGGCCGAGGCCGAGGGCCCGGAGGGCGGCGCTGCCTTCTTAGACTCCCCCACGGGATACCCCAAGGATAAGCCAAGTGCAAATAAAAGGGACTCGGAAGCCGGCGGTAGCCGGGCCCAGACCCCGGGCAGCACTGCCAGTTCTGAGCCCATGTCTCCTCTGCGGGAGACCCCGAGCCCCTTCTTCACCCTGGACTTGAGCCCGAGCGAGGAGAAGTCCGCCAAGCCGTCCTCCTTCACGGAGAAGGTTGTCTACGCGTTCTCGCCAAAAATCGGACGGAAATTAGGCAAATCACCTTCTCTGAACATATCTGAGCCCATTTCAGTGACCCTCCCCCCCCGGGTGTCTGAAGTCATCAGTGCGGCCTCCGCCACGGCCTCCACCACGGCAGCCCAGACCCGATCTCCTCCCGCCTGGCACACGGGTGTGGACGAAAGTGCCGTCGGAACTAGATCCCCTCCCCAGGTAGGAAAGATGAAGGCAAATGAGAGGGAGTCCCTGGAAGGATGTGAGCCTGGAGTCCAGCCCCCAGGCCTGGCGGTGGCGGTGGCGGTGGCAGCGGCCGCAGAGGTAGAGGCGCCGGGACAGGAGAAGGAGGAGCCGTGCGTGTCCGACGGTCAGAGTAAGGCTGTACCTTCTGGACAGGCTCAGACAGGTACCGTTTGCTTTCCTCCACTCTTTCTTTAAGCTGAGCAGGATCTTCATGTCCCTGTGCCGCCTGTGCCTTGTCAGGGAGAGATTCACTTCACACCTGCCCTTTAGTCAAAGAGAATACGGTTCCGGGTAGTGCTGAGTGCTCCAAGCCTTACACTAAACTCAAAGAAGACCCGCGAAGGGCCGGTGGTCCTGTGTCCGACTCCATAGAGTCCGCGGGTGTCTTTGGACAGTCAGAATCCATGGATATTTTTTGCACAACTTCGTAGCTCTTGATTCTGTTTTCTCTTCTGGTAAAATGCCTGTATTTTAGCCTTCCACGTTAACCAGCCAGCCTCCACCGGTAAAACCATCCTAAGCCATCCGCAAGCGCGTGGAGCTTGTGTTCTAAGCCATCTTGCCTGAGCCACGTGGGGGACCTGCTTGTTGTAGCAGCTCACGAGGAGGGGCAGGCCTCACCCCCTCTCGGTGTTAGTGTTCCTCCGAACCAGATGTTTCTGCAGCAGATGGTGCATGTGGGACGGAAGATCGTGGATTGCCATTTTTAAATATGGAAGGCCCCTGTCTTTTAGGGCCCAGACGGGGAGTGTTGGCTTTCCATAGGTGGGATAACACAAGCGGCCTTTTCACTCTCATTTTTTCTCCCAATTTCCCACCAGGAGCAGTTACCCATGACCCCCCTCAGGAGGCCATGCCTGTCAGTTCAGTGTCTCTTATCCCACCGCCACCGCCTCCGAAAAACGTCGCCCGCCTGTTGGCGCTGGCGTTAGCCGAGTCCGCACAGCAAGCCTCGACGCAGTCGCTGAAGAGACCAGGCGCTTGCCAGTCCGCTCCGGTGAACTATGGAGACGCGGCTGTGGCTGCAGCCGAAGAGCAGCTGCCTGTTTACCACCCTCACATGACTCTGGACAAAGCCTGTGTCCCAGCCGATGGGCCCGCAGAACACTTCCTCCTCCCGAACCAGGCATCCGGGAGCAACCACCAGCTCCTGCCCGACCCGGCCACCGCCGGGCACCAAGCCCACGCCAGCGTCCCCGAG